CTGAAGAGAACACCCACACCCCACACCCACACCCACACCCACACACAGACCCAGAACAAACTTATGTGGTAAGTTGTTTACAGTGAATTTTCAATTATCAAGTATGAATTCAAACCACTAATCGAAGATCTACAAAGTACAGAGGACCGAGATGAATAATATGCATTCTAGTCGAGTCTCTAATATGATTTTGTAACAAAATCTGTGAAAAAAGCGCACGTTTGTCCTTTTTTTTTTTTTTTTACATAAAAAGAACATTTTTCCGAGTGTTAGAAAATCTGATAAAAATACTTCAGAAATCAATATTAGAGAAACCTACAATATATGATTCGATGCATCATCATCTCCTTTTTCCAACGGTGAAAACCGCACTTCTCTATCTTATTTCTATCAACAGTTATTTAGAAACTACTCACTAACATTCATAGAACTGTGATACATGCGAGCAAAAGAGATGTTATCGAAATTTTATTATTATGATATTAGTTGAAGTATGATCCAATAACATAGAAAGATAGAGCTTTTTTTTCTCTATCAGACTATATAGAAAGAAAGTTTCTTTAAGTCTACTGTACAGTATTAAAGTATCATTCTCACTATTTTTGGTATGCCCTAAATATTTTAACTCTCTATTTATATTTTATTAAGAGGAGAAAAGTGTTTGTTTCTCAGAAAAAAAAAGTTTGCTTCTCACATAAGTAAAGTTATCAACTCAAAAACATGAAACATTTTCTTTTATCTTATTCCGAATTTAGATCAACAAACAATGAGAAAAAAATTCATAGGCTATGAAATTATATAAATACAATGATAACGTATATCACATTGTTGTTGACATATATATTACAATTATATGTAAATTTATCTGTTGTTGATGTATGTAATTCATATAATAAAGTCATAGTTGAAAATTTGGCACGACGTAATGAAAAAACTTCATAATTTTTATCAGGAACAAAATGTAAAAATACATTTCCCGTATTCATTAAATCACATTGAATTAGAGCATTGGTATCATTGACTGTTGGATAGAATGTTATTTGATTATGAAGACTCTCTGGCATCTCACTTCGCCTCTTTTTCCTCTCTTTTTTTAAAAATCCTCTTTTTGTTAGGGGAAAAAAACGTTTTTAAAGAAAATAATCAACATTGTTGAACGGTTTTGATGAATCAATATGCTTTGGAGCAAAAGAGTCAATGCTAAAATTGAAAATTTTCCTTGCACACATACGATGAGAACCAGAAAGCATAGATTATAACCCGAAAGAGTTTTAATAATTTTTTTGCCTCTGTATTCGATGAGATTAGCAGAGATTGATATTATTCAGAGCTGAAATTCAGAAAAAGAACAAGTAAGACCCGTTTACGAAAAAATATAACGTATTATCTATTGAATAAGAACCTATTCTTTCAAAAACCGAAGCGTCCAAACGCGTACTTATCACTAAGCAACGCGCTTTTTTAAAACGACGAACACGTTTATAGTACACGAGTTTCGTGTCCAGAGTAACGCTTTCTCAACAGACACGTTTTAGTTTGTCTAAGAATAATACGTTCCTCTAGTTGAAAAACGTATACACTATTCGTTTGCTACTTATCTTGATTGATCAATGTGGGAAACTTGTCGTAACATTATGTATGGGTCGATTGATAGATGTAAATTTTGCACTATACTATTGAAATATTTCATATTTTCTGAACATCTCATTAAGACATTTTAGTGACACTTAAGGAACCTTTTAGTTGTGTCAATCGTGATCTAACCCTCCCATATCGAAAATGACCACTGGTGGTAAATAGAGCAGTTGAGCAGTATAGTGAAAAACATTACATCTGTGAACTAATGCAAAAGTGATGTCATGACAGGTTTCTCACTTTGATCGGTAAACTCAATTAGCAAATGAATAACGTAGATTAAAATGCATTAGGCCATTTTATTTCGATCGAATTGGTTCGTTTTATCAGTTGAGAAAAAGTGCCATTCAAAGACAATCTTAACGAAGAAATGAAACGTGCAGTCAAAAAAGTTCTATAAAAGAAAATCCTTTTAGAAAATTGTTCATCTTGATTTTGATCCATTTGTTTCAAGAATATTTCGAAAAATGATAAATTTTTTTTTTCACCAATACAAGATATACCATTTGGTAGAGAATCAAAAGAAGAATATTTTAAAAAGAAATGAAGCCTGAACAAATAAATACTAAATCAAACATCAATAAGCTGTGGAGAAATCCATTTTCCTCGAAACTTCCGTTATTTACGCTATTCTATGTTTCTATTCTACCATGAGCTATACAACAGCCCATCACACATTGATAGAACTAACTTGAACAGCAGTAGTGCTTATCTCTTGTTCGTATCTGTTAGTCCATCCTAGTCGCGAGCTATTATACATTTAGAAAATGAATTAAAAGAAAAAAAAATGTTTTGAAAAAACTCGAACTGAAAATACTTATTCTATTTATGACAAGAAAACCGCTCATGCTCATATGAACGGTTGTCAACGTGAGCTGTATATC